ACTCCTGACTCCTCTGTAGGCTTTTCTTTGAAACATCCCCCTCCTGAAAGTTTTGTCACTTCGGGTCAGGTCCAGTGAGAAAGACTGTTTTGGTTCTGTTGAAACGACGTCTGAATGAACACAAGAGAGACCTCTGTGACCCTCAGCATTGTGGTCGTATTACTGGTCCTGGAGGAGACCGGATCAGGACCGTCAGCTGGTTCACACTGTAGTCTCTCAGTAGAGGACATTCACGGCCCCCAGAGGATGAATCCTAACGCTCCTGCTCTTCCTCAAGACCTCCGGGACCCTCAGAACAGCTGCTTTTAACTGCTCAGGTTACTGCACTGATGATCCGGACCGGTGGGTTGGGGCGGGCAGCGCTGACAAGACGTGTATACGAAGAGTTCATCTGCAAAAACAGATCACAGCCTTTGTGTTGTTTGCTTGAGATGATATCCAACTGAAGCTGAGTGGATGTGACTCAGTGAAAGGACAACACCAGAGATAACTGAAGATGACTGATGATGTCTCAGGTGGACCATGGAACAGTGGGTTTTTGAAGGTTTGTGAGGATGGAGGTATCTGTTTCTGCAGATGAACTCTTCATATTTTCAGTAGCTTCTGTTTGCTCCTAATGGTCTTCTGTATTCATTTTATCTTAGCACTGTGATCTCCCAGCTCCTGCTTGGCCTTGTTTTTGTTTTTATTGACATACAGATGGATTTCACAAGCCTTTACTCTGTCCTGCTTTTTGCTGGCTGACCTCGAACGCGTTACAGCACTTGGGTCGACTCCAGCTGTTTCAAAATGTGTTTTAAGAGTACGTTTGGTTAGCTGAATTCTCCTCGTGTGCCAACAGCATGTCAGAGTTTTTACCTCTCTTGTGATCGATCTGGTTCCAGACGCTATCGGTGAGGACACCTGGGATCTTTCTGCGTGGAGTCTCCATGTTCTCCCCGTGCAGCGTGGGTTGTCTCCGGGTTCTCCGGCTTCCTCCCACAGTCCAGAAACATGCTGAGGTTAATTGGTGATTCTAAATTGTCCGTAGGTGTGAATGTGAGTGTGCTTGGTTGTCTGTCTCTAAGTGTAGCCCTGTGATAGACTGGTTACCTGTCCAGGTGAACCTGCCTTCACACCCTGAGTCAGCTGGGATAGGCTCCACCCCCCATGACCCTAGTGAGGATTAAGGTGTAGAGATGATGGATGGATATTTTCAGTGGCTTCTGTTTGCTCCTCATGTTCTTCTATATTCATTATATCTTAGACCTGTGATCTTCCAGCTCCTGCTTGGCCTTGTTTTGGGTGTTTTTTGGTACACAGATGGATTTGGCCTTTACTCTGTCCTGCTTTTTGCTGGCTGACCTCGAACACACTTGGGTCAACTCCAACTGTTTCAAAATGTGCTTTAAGAGTACGTTTGGTTTGCTGAGTTTTCTTCGTGTGCCAACAGCGTGTCAGAGTTTTTACCTCTCTTGTGATCCATCTGGTTCCAGATGTTATCAGTTTGCTGGCATCGAAGCGTCAGGACTTGTTGACCCCCGCGCCAAGTCATCAGGTCAGAATTTAGCTTTAAGTCGCAACTGTGCTTTGTTTCAGGAAGCAAAAATAAGCATTTTTTTAAAGCTGGTGTGAACACAGTAGACATCATCAGCATGTCAGAGCTCTGACTGTTAGCATGCAGGTTCTGGTTTTGTGAAGCTTTTCTTTTTCAAACTGTGGCTCCGACAGTAAAGGTGAATGTAGTTTTGCATAAAACAAACTCGACTCTCCTGCAAGAGCATCACATTTATTACTTCATTAGCATTTATTGGTGGACTCAGCTGGATGGACGTCACACTGCTGTTCAGGACACAATGATGCTTCTATAATTAGCACAAAAGCATGCGTGTGGATTTTTGAACAAAGTCATTTTTTGTAAAGTGATGACTTTCAACCAGACAGAGACGAGCTCCTGCTGATCCCAGAACAGCCCTGTGTCACCGTGAACTCTCTGCTACAGACATCAACCTTCAGCGAAAGTGTCTGGAAAAGGTTTCAGGGTCCACAGATGACTGTCAGACTCTCAGGTGACAAAGTGAAGTGAAACTTTGCCTCTGGGTCACAGAGATGTCTGCTGCAGCTCTGCTGTTACTGCCGCAGCGTGTTTGCATTAGATAAACATGAACAACATGTGACAGCTGGATGCAGAAATCCTCCACAGCATCTTCTCATTGTAACAGGCCGTTACCGACAGGCTAAACTTCAAGCCTGCTCTCCCCCCGGAGGCTTATTCAGCAATAAGAGAATAATCCTCAGACTCCTTCCCTCCACCTGCCCTGGAGTCGCTTCTCTTCCTACGTTACCATGGTTACTTTACAACCAAATTACACTCCGCTTAATGGCAGGTGAAGCAGCTCCACGGAGCCTCCGGCGACCGCAAGAGAAGGAAGACACAATAACAGGAGGTGTGGTGTTTGGCTTCCCAGCACAGCACACATGCTCGAGATGCTTTGTGCTGTATTTGGATGATCAGAGCCTGGTGCTCTATCATAACTCAGAGGGGGTTTGGTGTCGTGCAGGCAGCTGGTTTTGTAGCAGTGAAGTCAGGAAGCAGGCACGGACATGCTCAGATGATCTCCTCCTGACTGATGCATTTACCCTTTGATTCATGTGCAGCGAACACACGGACAGAGATCCCACTTCTGTCTCCTTCACACAGAGGCTCCAGTGTCTCCACATGAGGAGTGTGCTGCTGTCCACCCGGTGAGTCTGCTGTCTGCAGAGCAGCAGGAGGGAGGCCCTGTGGAGGCTCTGCCCATCCTCAGTCAGCAGGGCAGCACACAGACCTCCACAGGGGGCAGATGCTTCGCTTTCTGGCCCCAGAGTTCAAGTCATGAACATTTAGGGCGACGCACATGTGAAGGTAAACGCTTTTCCACAAATGTCAAGAGGAGAAAACGGAAATGAGGCTGATTGTCTGCTTTCTCTGAACCATCTGATGTCATCATGTAACCCCTCAATCAACACACAGCGGACAGAACACATCACAGGGCCTACTTTGGGTCAGCCATAAAGTGTCTGATAATAATAATA